ACTGTCCATATTTTGTTGTCTTGTTATGTAAATTAATAATTTTTATTTTACGGTGATTAATCTTGTTTTCTTGTGCCCAATAATGCATAATTTCATTTGATAAACACGTTTAGATTGAATGGTAATTTATAATCAGTCACAAGAACGTCGAATCTGAATCACTTGAAAAAAACACGGGGGTGCTTAACTTTTTTCCAGGTGTATATTTATAAATTTGGCGGACAAAAATCTTTGATAAAAAAGCACACTACTTCTGCAAATTAAATGGTATAATTAATCTAATCAGTGCTTCATCACACAAATAATACTGGGTAAATCATCTATATAAACTTTTAACATTAATTTGAAGAGAAAAATTTTCACAGTTATCAGCATTCTTAAGAACAGCTGAGGACACAACCAAAGACATTTTCTTATTATATTTTATCTTCTCACATCATATCTCGTTAGGACCAGAGCGAAAAAATAGAAAACAATAATCAGAGGGATTCTTTATAGCATTACACTGGTAAATAATAACTTCTAAACATGCCATTAAATTAACCAAATAACTTATGATTAGATGATGGAAACAACTATCTATATTGTGATTGGATATCAAATTTTGTTACCCTAGAAAATGGTTATGAAAGAGTCATCTTTGCTTACATTTTTTACAATTTCCTCTGTATTCATATTATTATACTGATCAAACTGATGTTGGGTGATAGATGGCAGCATGGCTCTGACTGGACGTTGTAAATAATTAGAACATGTTTGCATGGCTGACTGAGCCAGCAGGGAGTTGGTAATTGACTGCATCCTTTGGAGAGGGGAAGCAGAAGAGCTGGGATCATTATGCAGTCCAGATGTTTCAGCTGTAGTTACTGTAGGAGCAGATGGAGATGACAAAGTGTTTGACCCTTGATGACAAGGTAATATTTTTTTGTTGGTGCTACTACATAGCTCAGCTTTGGATTTTACATAAGAAAAAGCACTTCCATGATAATTGGATTCTTCTAATTCTGTAGATGAACTAACATTAATTTTGTTTGACCAACTTGTAGGTTGAGCTGATGCATTAATACCTACGTCACAGTGAGATTGAGGGTTGTTCAAATGAACAGAGTGTAAAAAACTAGGAAATGTGGGATAATGCATGGATTCATTAAGAACACTTGGTGGTGCACCTAACTTAACAAGATTCGTTATGGAATGAGGGACAAGCTGTGACAGCCGGGATAGTTCCTGATAATAGATGCTCAGAGCTTGATGAATTTCATCTTGAGTCCGTTCAAAATGATCCCTTGGAACAGAGAGATTATCTTCCATCCTTTGGCGTATTAATTTTGCCAAATCCTTTTGATAGACTTGTGCCATCGTTTCCTGTGAAATACCATCATTATCTTGTCTTTGAGGCTGTATGGGACTATGAATGTGTGGATAATCTTTGTATGGAACACTATTCTGAAAGAACCATTGCTTGTTCCCTTCTCTATCTAATCCCACCTTCCCATCTTCTTGACATTCCTCTTTTTGTAACTGCAATGCTCCATTTGATGTTCTCCTTTCAGGAGAGTTTCCTTGGTTTCCATTGTAAACTACTAGCTCCTTTTCATCTTTGGAGGACATTAACATGGCCTTCTGAGCCTCATTCAGAATTTGGGTTATCCGTTCCGTAGCAGAAGGGTCCTCTGCTCTGTAGACTGGAAAATCATAATCTTTTCCTAGAAAAAAATGGAAACTTTAATCTATTTTTTAAAAATTAACAATTGAAGTCATTTAAACATAACTAAATAAAAAATGTATTTATTGTATTTTCTTTTTGCAATCCATAGAATGAAGTTCAACTCTTTGAAAACAATTTGAATATTAGCACCAATTAAAATTCTGATTATAATGGTTCAATATATTCTCTGATAACATAAGTTAGCTAACAATATATTTTGGCTACTTCTGTATGGACAAGCTTACATAATGTCACAAATTAGAATAAAAGGATTTACGGAATACTGACTCTCCAATACGAGAAAAACACAAAAAAATTACTCTATCGTGAAATCACTTGCTTATTTTAAAGATAATTTTAGAGTAAAATACATCATGAAGTATAAATATAAACAATTAATGTATTTTGTTTGAATAGAAAACTCATATAAATCTTCTCTGTTAAATATCTAACAAGAAACCATCTAAAAATAATATGGGTCTTACATTATAAATTATGTTCATTTCAGGAAGCAATTAAAATCTAAACCATAAATGTATAATATAATTATGGCTGTTTTATAAAGTAGCTACTGTTATGAAGTTAGGTGTAAGGAAATATCAGTTGAAGTTGAAAGAGTTTGAGAAAGGACGACCTTTGGTTAGTTTCTAAGGGATTGGTGGATTATAGTACTCTAAGTCATTAGAAAATTATTGGAGTGAGCGGGTATAGCGTCCATCTTTCTAATGTCAGCAGGTATGGAAACTACAGGATCCCCTATGATTATGAAACGTTATAATCTGATAGACGAGAAACATGTGCAAGGACAGAAAGAAAGGAGCCAATTCGACGTCGGTGTGAGAAAGGAATATAAAAGACTGCATTTCAACGAGAAAAACAAAAAAGAGACGACTGGGGGATGTGAGAGAGAACGATTAAACCGAGTGAGGCGAAGGAAGAAAGTAATATGCTACTAGTAAGAAACAATACCTATTCTAAATCTATGTTTTATTGATTATTAGTAATAAAGAGTAATTTATTATGTTCACATTGGCATGACTCAATTCCTGATATGAATAAGTACTGCTTAAATAAAGTTAATGGACTTAAGTGGGGCAAGCGAAATGCGAGTATAACTAACATAATCGTAACAAAGTGGTGTCAACTGGATAAAGCAACAGAGTCGGGAAATAGAATAAATTTTCTTTTTTTGTTCTTTTCTTACCTGTTTCGGTTTTGACGGTGGTTTAGTTATTTCTTACTGGTTATAACTTGTGTGTTTCGTTGTTTAAGAGTAGAGAATTAATGTTAGCATTGATGAGAATTAGAAATCACTAAGAAATGGTCAGTTGGTAAATAAATGTAGATAAGTGGGTATAACATGTAGTAGGAACTCAACAGAAATGACAATTACAGGCTATGGCGAGGAAACTACTTTCTGTATTACCTGGAAAGGCGTTAGCAGCATACAATAAGACTGGGAGTGCAGACAAAGTAAAGTAGAAACTTATCACCGGAATTCAGAGTTTGAAAAATAGCAAATGATACAGTTAAATAGTGTGGAATAAGACTGCATGTGTTTCTAGTTATATGTATTGAAAGACCTTACTGTACTGAAGAAACCGACAAGATTGTAGGTCTGATGTTGCAAGAGCAAATGTTGACAAAATTACTAACAGAGTTAGTAATATAGTCAAAAGATAGGAAGCCAGCAAGTGACGTTAGCGGATGAATATGAAGTGATGAGAATTGAAAGTAGGTGAAAATCAAGCTAGTAGAACTACTTACCACAAACAAATAAAACTCGATCAGCGCTCCCTGAGAATTATAAGGAGAACCTTCCCACAGTGTGATTTTGTGATAAATAAGAAGAGAAATTATAAATCTTCGCCAAAATATTTTATATGTAACCAAATTGAGCATATAGCTAAATTCTGTAAGCAGAATACAAAAAAGTGCGGAAGGAAGAGAGAATATGTGTTGTATTGAAAACAGAGAGAACATTTCAAGTATATATAAAATACCGTGAACTTTTTTCAATGTTGTAGTGGTAAACATAAACAAAGACAGTGGGCTGTAATGTTGAAATGTATGTAACGATAGTGAAATTATCAATGTTCCATAAAAGATTGAGTAGTGAAACAGTTTAATAAAGTGTGTGATGACATGCCTGAATTTCGAATCTTGGGTTAACATCCGAGGTTGAATACAATCAACATTGTTGAACGTATTCATAAAAAGAGGAGTATGTGTTATGAAGTTAGGTGTAAGGTAACATTGGTTGAAGTTGAGAGTGTATGAGAAAGTGGTCGGCCTTTGGCCAGTCTCTAAGGAATTAGGGGACTACAGTGCTCTAAGACTTTTAAGTCATTAGTGGCCACTTTTTTAAGTTCAGCCGGTATGGAGACTACAAGACCTGTTATGGTTATAAAGTGTTATAATCCGATATACGGGAAACAGGTGCAAGGTCAAAAAGAAAGGGATCGTTTCAGCGTGAGTTTAATAAAGGAATATAAAAGACAGGAGATTAACGAAAAAGGAGAACGAAAGAGAAAAAGAAGACCAGGAGATGTGAGAGAAAACGACTAAACCAAGAAAGGCGAAGGAAGAAAGTAACATGCATCCAGCAAGAAACAAAACCAATTTCTAAATTTATGTGTCATTGATGACCAGTAACAAACAGTTGAAAATATATTTATTAAAACATCTAGACATATGGACTTACAAGAAAGTAATATTTAAATTTCAAAATATTCTATGATTTTATTTCGATGTTTTGAAAAAATGCTGTTAACTTCATTTATATAATCTTGAAATTAAAGCAGTGGTAATAAAACTAATCACGTTAAACGTTCTTAAGATAAAAAATGCCGAATTTCCCATTTAAATCACGTTTAGTTTACAGAAAATAACATCACAATTTTATGAATCATACAATGATTTATACATTGCTTTAAATATAAAAAAAATCGAAAAATTGTGCGCACTAATATATTAAAACATAAAAAATTAAATATGTTATACCAAACTCAACTATAGTATAAAAATACTTACACATATGATTTTTGTTTTGTACAATCATAGAACATTTTGGGTCAAAATAAATGTAAAGAATTAAATTCCAAATTTCGTTTCTCTGTAAAACGACATGCTTCGTAAGTGAAGTACGTTTCACAATGTTTGTCCAGAATAAATTTTGACGAATTAAATGTTAAACAAACAGATAAGTAAATAGTAAAGATATAAATAGTTGAAAAGTTTAATCAATTGTAATTTCTATGAAATATGGCTACTCATAACCTCTAACATGTTTATTTTGATAAATAACGAATTTCTACTTACCTTTTTTGGGCACTAACGTCTTCAGCATGTAAATACAACTGTCATCCGTTGCCCAAGCATGCATCTTTCGATACGAATCTTTTCCTTTTTCTGTCAGTTTGTCCCATGGCTTAGGCTTTGAAAGAAGTTCACTAACTGTTCCTTGAGATAAGCCGAGAATGAACTTGGCAAACAAACGCTGTCCAATATTGTGAATACTCAGTAACTCTCGAACACAACGAGAAATGCTAAGCGTATTTAATGCATCTTTTGCATATTTGACCACACCATTTCGGAGGCACTCCTGGAGTTTCTGTACAGTAGCGTTATCACAGTAGGATAATTTGTGACTGGAGGAATTGTTAAGAAAGCTAGATTTTGAACAGATCACAGTGTGTAGAGGAGTGGGAACCGCTGAGGAGGTGGAAGTTTCTAATGATTTAGATGCACTGTGAGTATACAAGTGTTCCTCTTTATTAAGAATTTTACCATAGGAGGACACAATTTTTTCTCCAAGTTGCGAAGTAAATATTTGAATATTTTGTACAGGTGGTGGTAATAAATTTTCTCCTAAGTTTTGGAGATTACCTTTAAGAAATAAAAAAAAAGATTAGAAACTGAAAAACATAATTAATGCGCTTGAAGTATTTGTATATCTCATTTTTATAGGCTTAACATTTTCAATTCCTATTATCGAAAAACGAGTACACAATAAAGTTACTTAGACTCTAAGAACACGGAGACCGGAAAACAACTATATTTATATTTTAATTTAAAACTTTATTTGGTTTATATGGAGTAAAATTTCTATTTATATTACATAATACATTTTCCGATCACATAACGTGACCTGAAACATTTAACTTTTTAAAATATAAAAAAAATCTGCATAAGGGCCTAAACCTATTATAAAATCAAAAACGTGTAACTCTTTATTTTACATTCTTCAGTTAAACTGCCTAAATCCATATGTACATATTTAAATACATCATTTATTGTGTAAAGACAAAGCATACTGGCTGGACACTTTATCGGCTCCGTCTAAAAACATTAGTAAAACGTTCATTTATCTGCTTGTGCGAAATAGACTGATTATGTAGTGATCTACCGAGTTGTATAAATGTCGAAATGTGGTCGTTATACCATAGTTAGTATGCGAAAGACATGTAAGAGCAGTGCTCTTTCTGACTTTATAAAGATCATTACAGTAGAAGCATGTTTAGCGGCGTAAACATCATTATTAAAACCATTTCTTTCATAGGCCGTTCAAAGACATCTTATCATCAGGTCTACCAAATCATGCCTGTCAAAAGTTGTACTTATAAGGAAATACATCTTATATAAAAAAACTGAACCCACCTTCCACTGGTGAAAGAACAAGGAAAAAGATAAATGAATTGGATTGTATAGAGCGACAAACAATGAATTGTCCCAGTTAACCGATCCCTTCAACAGTTGTCGGAGTTTTCACCCATACCAAGGGATGTAAATTATCAAAACTTACATGGCAGCTAGCTTATATGGAAAGAGAAAAGCATGGCTTTAGCGTTCTCATCGTAAAAGTTAGGACTTTTAATTCCTTTACAAAGACGAAAAACTTCCAGGGATATTGAATGCTACTGCCTATCTTGCCTGGTCCGTAAGCTGCAATTCCACTTTGACGAACAAGTGTTCTACTAAAACAATAATGTAATATTTAACCCGATCGTATTATCTGAAACTGACCCAAAGAGCTTGAAAGTGACTTTATACTTATTTCTTGGCCAACATGATCAATGGATCTCAATTTTACTGAGACAACTTGAGAAGAACTTTAACGTTACATTGCTATTGCAATTCTTGGTTTGGAAGTTCACGCAAAGCTATACGAGGCTATCTGTGCTAACTGTTCCTAATTTAGCAGTGAAAAACTAGAGAGAAGGCAGCTAGTTATCACCACCCACCACCAACTCTTGGGCTATTCTTTTACCAACGAATAGTGGGATTGACCGTCACATTATAACGCCCCCACGGCTGAAAGGGCTAGCATGTTTGGTGTGACGGGGATTCGAATCCGCCACCCGCAGATTGTGAATCGAGCGCCCTAACCATCTGGCCATGCAAGGCCATATTGCAATCCTCTGTCGACATAAGTGAATCAATTGCACACTATTCTTACTACTCAATAAACAGAATAATAATAATAAAAAAGACACTGCCCAGTATCTTGTGGAATCTTTAACATGCTGAGTGCAGGCTATTATCGTGGCAAAAGGTAGGAAGTTCTAATAAATGGCCAGTTAGTGTATACAAATCAACACTTTACGTAACCTTGTGGCTAAATCGATGTTTTTAAACTTACCAGTTGAATTAATGTGAGGTGATCTATCCGTAGAATTATCTGTTGATAAGTTCTTATCCTTTTCCATCAATGAGATATCCATTGACTTGAACAACTTGTACTCTCTCTTAGCATTGTTGTCATCTTCTGGACTAGTATTGTTACGAAGTTCAGTTGACTTTAGAATGCTGTCAATATCAGTACATTAAAAAACATGAGTCATGATATGTTTATTTGAACACTAATATTGTATTTACAGAAAGTGGTTACAAAAATTAATTGTTATTCTGTAAATTATGTTGTGACCTTGCTTCACCACTTACTATCAGAATAAGTTAGCAGCTAGTAATGTTTCCTGGCGAACGCTTGTCCAAACGTGTCTTATCTAGAAGATAACAGAAGAAATGTTGAGTGGCATATAAGATTTAAACAAGAAGTGTTGAACATAATGCTCACTAAAAATTGAAATTTATTGGGTGCATTTCCTAGACTCAAAACGATCTCAGACTAAGGTCACTTTAGAGTCTCTCCATCTCTGTAGAAAAAAAAAGGTTATTAGTCTGATTATTCTGTCTCTAAAACTAATAATAATGAACAATATCGTTCATAAATTAACATTAAAAAAATATATTGATCACGTTTGAAAAGGCTTGATATAGAACCTCAAACTAAAGTTTTAGAATGGAATTTAAAAGATTAAATCTTTATAAAATATTCTAATAATATTCTAAAATTTTAGTTTGAGGTTCTATATCAAGCCTTATTTAACATGATTAATAATTAAAATATTTTATAAAAAATTACTTTATTTCCTTCTTTATCTCTTCATAGTCCCGTTGTTTGGTAAGCTTCTTCTCCAACCATTGAATGGCTTTGGTCTTGCCTGCTAGCATTTCTTCTAGTTGAGCAATCTAGAAGATTCAATAGAATGTTAATTGGAAATTAAAGCAATATTTTCAGCATTACTGAATCATACAAACTGAAACAACTAAACAATTGAAAAATTTGCATACAATATTATCAGAGCAAGGAAGAACAACAACGTTCACGATGTCTGAGATAAAAAAAATATATAATGTTCCTATTGGAGATTTAAATATGTGGGTTTCATACACTTTCGATGTTAATATGCAAAATGTAATCCTTGTTTATGTTGATTGACTATTCGTTTCCATAAAAGTAAATTTATCTCATAAGTAAGGTTTTAGATTACTAAATATACTGAATACAGTAGTTTCAGGTTTTCGTGGAGATAATAAACAACTACCTGGAGTACCCGTCCCCTGGACGGAAGTTATATAAATTCATGGTTAATGAAAGGTTATTTTAGAACATGAAAAGTTGCATCCCTTACATGTAATTGTAAAAAACGCCCATAAAAACTGTAAAACAGAAAATATGAAACCGCAACTTTACATGTTTCTCCGCATGTGCCCAACAAACCCTCATGCCAAATTTGGTGAAGATCCATCAACAGGGGACGAAGTAGTGGTGAAAACGCAAAACTGAAAACTTGTATGTATCTCTCCCATGGGTCCAACGAACCTCTATTCCAAATTTCGTGAAGTTCCAACCACAGGAGGTGTGGTAGTAATAAAAACCGCAAAATTGAAAATTTCTATGTACCCAACGCACGGACCTAATGAACCTCCATACCAGTTTTGGTGAAGGTCTGTCCAGACCCTGCGATGTGGTTACATGGACATACATAAGACAGTACTATTTTATTTATATATATTAATTGTCAACCTGAAGCATTAATTATTTGTTTGTTTTGAATTTCGCGCAAAGCTACACGAGAGCTATCTGGGCTAGCCATCCCTAATTTAGCAGTGTAAGACTACAGGGAAGGCAGCTAATCATCACCACACACGCCAATTCTTGGGCTACTCTTTTTCCAACAAATAATGGGATTGATCATCACATAATAATAACGCCCTCACGACTGAAAGGGCGAGCGTGTTCGATGGGACGAGAATTCGAACCCGCGAACCGCAGATTGCGAGTCGAGCTCCCTAACCACCTGGCCATGCCGGGCCAAAGCATAAATACTAATGATAAGATAACGACAGCTTGAAAACTCACTAGTACAGAAGTGACTTTTGAGGTTTATCAGGATTATATTTCATCATTTCTTTAATCAGATATATCATTCTTAGAATAAATGCTCGACCAAATAATTACAGAGTTAATTATTATAATCTAAAGAACTAAAAAAAGCCTTTCAAGAAACTACAATCATAATTCTTCAGAAGAACATGCTATAGCAAAGAATGTCAGAAATTATCAGTATCATTCATAATCATAGACATTCTTTAACAATTACACACGTTTTATCTTATATTTTAGAGATAACAATGAAAAAGCTTAAAATACTTGCTTGATAGGCACTTGTTTCTTTCAAGTTGTTAATAGTAGACTTTAATTTCTTAATATCTTCTACAAGTTGTGAAATCTACAATAAATACAAATGTTTTAGTAATAACAATAAGCAAACGATAGCTTCAAAAACATTAGTTATATAAATGAATCGTTTGAAGCACTGTTTTAATACTGGCTCAGTTCGATTTCAATCTTATCTAAAAGGTTACTAGATCTAAATTAAGTAATTTAGAATGACAAAATCACAGTACACGATAATATAAAATATTAGTTTTTATAAATGTAAAATATCAATTACAATATTAGACATAGCACACAAAATTTTCGTAGTTATAGGAACTCGCTTCTTTGAGCTAAGTCTTCCCAGACTTATCATTGGATGCAAGGTATTTATTTTTATCGTCAATCCGGATATCTTAAGATTAATTTAACATAAACATATATCAGAAGTTATAACTCAAAACTAATAGAAGTAGTTAGAAATGCCGTGAAAGAGATAATTTTTAGCTGTTTTTTTCTTTTCTATTTTCACATAAGATACCCTAAATTATAATTATTTTGTGTAGTGTTTAACTAAATCCTCGTGAGAGGGAGAACCCAGTCTCACCTCTTTGTCTTTAGCGGCAAGATCAAGTTCCAAGGGCGAGTGATCCCTTTCGCTCATCTCGGATTCCTGGCTAGTTGTACTTGCAAGATGCAGTGACTGTTTAGCTGCCTGGAGGTGTTTCTTAAGTGCTGTAGCCTCTTTTTCTGCCAAAGATGCTCTCTAATAAACGATTAAAAGGGACTTTCAGTCTGTTATTATGTCTATACACGAATCTACTCCTTAAACAACATCTTATACTCCCAAGAACGGACTCATCATAGCAATCGGAAACGTTATTTATATGGTTAATGCAAAAATAACTAGTGGGTAGTTTAATAGTACCCAAAAGTCATTTTATACGATCTTATACAGTGAGTTGATTACAAACTCATGTCATAAAAAATGTTAACAATGAACGAATGTATTTCAGTCAATATTTGACTTAGAAGCTATAAGTCATGAATAGCTGTGAACTATAACCCGATGTTAATATCCATTGGTTCGTTTTTATTCGACATTTAATGTTTCCATCGACTTTGTTTTTAATTAATCAAATCGTTGTTCAAAGATTACGTTAATAATTATCCTAGTAAGGCAGTAAGTGAATGAGTCAGGGGACAATACTTCACTAAGCCAGTATAACTATCTTGATAGACCTTAAATGCTGAAATTTTAACATAGAAACTGTCACCACCGATATTAAAAATTGTTGGAAATACTAAATTAAACTCCCCTGGGGAACGAAATAAATTTTGCTGATTTCTGTTAAAAATGATGAGCTTAATTTGCCGATCTAATTTAAAATCCCAAGACTGACAACATAGTGTTTTAAAGTAGTTCAAAAGATTCCCTGTTATAAGCAAGCTAAAGATCGCGCTGAAAGAAAAAAAAAGAAGACAGATTTCTTTCTCCACACACATCAGAGCAGAAGTTTTCAAACTGCGAAATTTAATGTACAAGAAATTAAATTTCAACCTATTCTCTTGTGGTACACTATGTATCTCTTAACTACCAGTTGTCCCTCCTCATTAATAAACCACGCGCCCGCTCACTCAGTCCTTGTCAAAATGACAAGATAATTAATATTTTAATTGGTTTTCTGTTATGGAAGTATATTAAACGAAATGATTGGAGAGCTGACTAAGATTGTTGTGTGTCTACTTGTGCAGAAAACAATAAAAGCACGTGCTAGATCAACAGCAATGTAAAAGAAATAAAAAAAGAAACAAGTAACGGAAAGAAATGTAAACGGACACTATATATATATATATACAGTACATAGCAAATTTACACGTTCAACAGAAGTGCAGGAAAATTATCAAATTCTTGAAAGTTAACGAAACATTCCATCTCTTCAACTCTGTACCTTATAAATGCATCATCTCTTCATCTTTGTATATTACAGAATGTCGTTATTTCCCCGAAAGGGGGCCGAAGGCCGCCTGGAGGGGTAACCTGTTTTAACCATTCGCGCCATTATACATTAGTGTGTTGTCTGTCAGTCAGTCAATAGACACTGAAATGACGTCACATAAGGGACGCTTAACATTGCAATTTGTACTGTTGTGACGTCAGTAAAACGTGTGTATTCCATGAATCAAGAGAAGAATTACGCACTCTGTAGGCTACAACATAGCATGACATATGAACTTCAACTGCAAGAAATAATAATATTTGTTACTCTTAATTTTGGTTTTATTTACTCATGAAACAGAACACTTTAATTGACCCTGTGGAAGTACATTTAGTACTTATTCATGTTTTCTGAGATCATAATTATCATAAAAATATTGTAGCAAAAGAGTTAACGAAATGAACACTCTGATTTGAACAGACTTTCCAAATAAGCTACAATCTATCTGTAATATAAGTATGCTAAATAAATCATATAAAACGAGAATTCCCAGAGTGGTGATAGCGGAAAAAAAAATGGTATTCCATGTCTTTTCTCTCCCTTTGCACATGAAGCCTTTCCAGCTAAAAACAAATACAAATTTTCAGGGACAGCTTTTCTTTTCGTGAAGCTACAAAGCAGAACGAACAAGGACTGGACAGGATTTAAACTCAAAATTACGCTTACATATCGGTAAGAAAAGTCGCAGGCTCAAATCTCGCCAGTCCTCAGTTTTCGCTTGTTCGTTAACATTTCTACGCTTAAGTCTAAGCATATCTTTTCCTAACGACATGAAACAAACACTCATTTCCCAGCACGGAATTAATTATCCTCTCTTAAGCTGACATAAATATGCTAAGTATTATTACTGAACCTATGGCTGTATGTTATAAAAGAACTAATAAATATTTATCACTAAGACATTCCCTGCTAAGAAGGGAAACATAGACCATAGAGATGTTTAACGTCTTCGTCGATTATTCAACTTGACTGAAGCAATAGCCAACCAATTAAAATTCATTTGGTTGCAAAGAGGCAGAACGTGTACTTGACAAAGAGTTATCGTTCTATATAAATATATGTTAAAACCGAAGCAAACTTCCTGCTTGCTTTAATCCAGTATACTATACATGAATATTCTCCTCTCCACCTTCACTTTGTAATGTATTCAAACAATTAAAAAATAAAGCCTCTCTCCAAATAGTCTATAAAGTAATTGTTAATAATTCGTAAACCAATCCTCATTTATCACGTCACAATACTAGGAGGGGAAGTATAGCTGAGTGGTTAAGATGTTTGGCTGGTTGGTTGTTTTAGAGCAAAACCGCATTGGGCTATTTGCTGCATTCACCGTGGGGAATCGATCCTCGGATTTAGTATTGTAAGTCCGTAAACTTACCGCTGCCCCACCTGAATGATTAAGATACTCATTGACTTTTATTTTCGGATATGTTTAACTTTAAACAACGATTGTTTTTAAGAAAACCATCTGAAAAAAATATCTTGTGGAATAACAGACTAAAAACAAAGATTTCTTTTGATAAATTCTCAAGATATAGTAACAGTTTTGTCTTCTTTTTTTTTCCTTTGACGCTTCACCCACGCCACATTATACAAGAAGAAAAAGAACGAAACCGAAGTTGGCTTTCAGTAGCCTGCTTATTTTATTTTTTTTATTTGTTAAAAATTGAGAAGTTATTGAATCATTAGAATTTAAGTACACATATCAAAAACATGAAATGTAAGAAAACAAACAAATGTATATATATAAAGATTTATACAAATGTACATTTTTTTTACTCGCAACCGAAAGCATGACGGTACACATGTGGTTTTAGCTTATGATTGTGTGTAGTTTGTAAATCCCCTAAACCATGCAGTTTCAGCTTATATTGATGTCACGTGCTTCATACGTCTGACAACTTATTTTTAATGCAAATACACGAGGAGTTAAATGCTAATTACATTAGACTCGTACGAAAATTATCGGATATGCAGGCTAATCAAGGAATAAGTAAGTTAATTACTCCATACGGATGCTGGTAAGCAGCCGGATTTTCATGTGGAACTGGGGAAGTATACGTAGAAATACGCCTCTGTTAGCAGACGCTGATTCTATGATCCGTTTAGCCTTTAACTGTAGAGTGATAATCATTACAAAGTTCACTAAAACGAGCAAAACCACGGAAACGAAGGAAAACTTGACATACTTAATCTGTTAAAGTGTTATGTCACAATGAGACTTGCCTACGCTCGAGTGAAAGTGCACGGTTATACTGCAAAATTATGACTCCATAATTAGTTAAAATGGCCAGATTAACTAAAACACAACAAGAACAGTTTCTTCCACATAAAATTAAAGTTTTGTCTAAAACTAATTGTCGCATTTCTGTTTGTCATAAACAATGCACAGTAACTAAGGGTATCCTTGTTAGTTGAGATGACAGCTTTATGAACAAACTAGATAAATAGAACAATAGGCGAATCATTAAACATGAAAGGAAAATAAGTAGAAAATATATTGCAACTCCTGAAAATAAATGCTTGAAATTTCACTTGTCAGTTATTAAGACTCGCACAAATGTTTCCATTCGGAGTAACTTTATAGCATTTTAACCAAGAATTGTATAAAAACCAAACTCAGTATATATACACACAGAAAGAAATTATTATATAAAGTAAGAAATCAAAAGATTTACTATTTGCTTTAATGTACATAACTATAGCTTAAAGCTAAAAGAAAATAGAAGATTTCTGTATATTAGGAGCTGACAAATACATTCTGGCCCTTTTAAGCAGCTTTAACACCCGCTAATTTCCCAGGATTAAGTCCGATGTTCGGATACCCCATTAACAACTGTGTTATCAAGGGGTTTATTCAACGTGACGTTAATGAATGGCTTCAATTACGTTTCAGATTACTCCAAGAAAGTCGTATGTATTTTGACAGATTTAAAGGGCATTGTAAAAAAACAAACAAAAAGTACTTTAAAACAGTACTACCATATATGTGTTTATGATGCTCTAGTTCAAAGCTGCACAAATGATGATTCTCATTGGATAACATATGTTTATGTGTACTGTGGCTGATTTTGACAATGACTGATGCATTATAAGAACCCTTTGATTACCTTCAGCAATTAGTTTCTCATATGTTAGCTTTCCAACCTGATTTTAGTTAATCTTAGACACTGGTAACATCAATGTAGTAATTTCTCTTTCGGTTTCTCTTATATTCCAACTCGATGTTCATGATATTTTAGCCAGTGCATCATTGTCATCTTAATCGACCAATCAATAATGAAGTAATGTGAAAAACATGTTTTTTCGTTAACGGTCAAGTCCAAATATTTTCATCGTTTCAGTTATTCACATTGTATTGATGAAATGACGCACTTGTTGCATAGAGTTATCAATAAGTTACGGAGCAATAAAAAGTACCCATTTTTTTACGTCAGCCATATTTGTAGTTCTCTAATTCCGGCTGATTATTACTGTTGCTGTACTTTTAGAGCGAGGCTACAAAATGTGCTATACGCGTTCTGCCCACCAGGGGAATTGAAGTACAGAAACTGATCATTGTTATTAAAAAGATAACACAAACAGTACACTACTTTAAAACTCTACAGTCTTCCAGTAGCATCAAATTTGTAACTGTTCTCTTGTTGAACACGTTCCATTACATAAGTTTAAATAGCTTATTATGTGAAGACTATTCTTCAGACATCATATTCCAATCGTATAAGGCTTGTAACTTTCGTTGGCCAGGTGGTTAGGGCGCTCGGCTCGCAGTCTGTAGGTCGCGGGTTCGAATCCCTGTCCCACCAAACATGCTCGTCCTTTCAGCCGTTGGGGCGCTATAATTTGACGGTCAATCTCACTATTCGTAAAAGAGAAGTTGGCGGTGGGTGGTGATGACTAGCGGCCTTCCCTCTAGTTTTACACGGGTTTCATGATAAACTTAAATACTGCTGAATCTGCTCCTAATCTTACGGGTTTCAAGTTAAACTTAAATAATACTGAAACTGTGTCCTGTTTTGACTGGTTTCAAATTAAACTTAAATATTATTGAATCTGTGTTCTTTTTTGACGGGTTTCAAATTAAACTTATATGCTACTGAATCTGGTCCTGTTTTGACAGGTTTCAAATTAAACTTATATGCTACTGAATCTGGTCCTGTTTTGACAGGTTTCAAGTTAAACTTATATGCTACTGAATCTAGTCCTGTTTTGACGGGTTTCAAGTTAAACTTATATGCTACTGAATCTATTCCTGTTTTGACAGGTTTCAAGTTAAACTTAAACAGTACTGATAAAGTTAAATACTACTGAAACTGTATTCTCTTTTCTACACTATCTATTTATTTAACAAGATTTTCGTAAACATCTAATATTAATGTCTTTATGTTTTTATATATTGTTTTATCCAGTTGCTGAAGAATGCGTCCACATAAGAGAAACAAAATAGTTTGGTTTGATTCCCGCAAAGATATACAAGAGATATCTGCTTTAACCAGCCCTAATTTTGAACTAGAGAGAAGATAACCAGTCAACAGCTCCCATAACCAACTCTTTAGCCACTCATGTCAACTTAATATCAGAATTTGATCGCCAGTCTTGTGTTTCACCCACTGCGTGTTTGCGTTAGAGTGCCGCGAACATTAAATCCACGTCCACTCAGTCACCAGTAATAGCATGATAAGTGTATATATATATAATATGTGATCAATTATAACGTTAGAAACCGGGTTTCGATACCCACGGTAGGCAGAGTACAGATAGCCATTGTGTAACTTTGTGCTTAACAACAAACAACTACAATTCTATTAATCAAATTAATCCTTTGACATTAATAAAGTAAGTATGTATACATCATTTTTAGCCCAAAGTCCCGCATTCATCATGTAATATCCAACAAATGGAAGCTACAAAGCTAATAAACGATCTATAAAACTCAATCCCTTTTTTAAGTTCTTTTACGTGTTGTGCAGTAACATTTAAAATTGCAAATGCGTTAATTCAGTACATTCACGTTATAATGGGCCTCTATACACCATTATACATGTAAATTCACTTCTTGTTAGACATAAAATGTTCCTACCTGACTTGCTCGTTCTAAGCCATTCATAAAGACTTCCATTTTGGCCGATCTAAAAACCAATATATACAAGAAATTTCCACATTAGCTTCATTAATGTAGCATACATATTAATACACCACGTTTAACAATTATTATAATTACTAACTGTGGCACCCGTCCGTTGGACAGGCGAAATAAAAACTCGTTTATGACAAAGGATAGGAAACTGTGCTTCTACATTTTTTCTTAACATTAAGATTGGTGCTCATTGATCAAGAAATGTGGAAACGTATAAGGAACATATTGACGTTTATTTTAATTACCTACAACAATCAAGTCCTTACTTATTCATTGTCTATCTCTTTATCAACCTTTGGTGGAACATATTTGATAACGAAAGGTCATGTTAAAATGTTTTATAAAAATGATGATGTTCATTTATCTTTACAATAATAAAGATGTGTTGTTGTATTAAAAGGAAATAAAACTTGTGATACTTTTGCAGTTAATAACTATGTTGATTTTTAGCTTTTAAGAAAAATTTGGTTTTTCGTACATATCATTTGTAACAATACTCTATATTGTATTTATATTTGAAATTTCTGAAACAGCATGAGCTGAAAGTAATTCCATATTAGCTTAAAAGGTACAAGCAAAAAAACAGCAACAAAAACGAATCCAGTTTTAAGTCAGAGCTAAAGAGTGGTATAGTGGTGGAGCCTTAACAGAAAATTTGAGTATCTGAATAAATATTCGATCTTTAATCAAGGATATCGCTGAAAATTACCAATAGGCCATAGAATACATGCTCCAGAATTTGTTACTTATAAACTGTCCACTGTAAAAGGTAATAAAATAGATCGGAGAAATTCCCTGTAAAACCAGTTGAATGTTCTAATTTCCGAATAAAAACGTGTTTATTATCTAAAAATTCATATCATGTATAACGATCGTTCTTAGTATTAGGGAAAAAAAGGTAAATATTTTTATACAGAAGTTGCAGACATTTTGGTACTGCATCTGGCGAGATAGTGGCACAATATTAAATGCCTTACATAACAAACAGTGCTTATCCTACTGTTACTTGTATTTTGTTATTACATTAATCTCTGAGGCTTTTTTTATTATTAACCTGACTATCTTCTCGTCAATTATGTTTGATCTCTCTAAAGTTGTAAAACTACATTTTAAATGTTCAATCCGAAACATTTTCAATAACTTATATATAATAGGTGGAATATTCAACTTTAACAGCACACGTGGGCTACAAAGTCAGGTCAGAGATCCCTCAAGTTACAGGAATATTGTACCTGCTTTTGAATTACTGACCAGCAGCCCTTGTCGCCATAAGGTATTTGTCCGACTCTTTGAACTGAATAAAGAGATTGATGTGCACTTTCTTAAAACGCCCAGGGTTGACAATGCGTGATCAGCAGCATCACGTCTCGAACCTTGGACCCTTCGATCCACAACCCAACAACCAAACCATTAGGTCACGCCCGGGTCGATTAAGCTATAAAAAATTCATCCTCTGAAGTTACATTTAACGAATATTGTTATTGTAATGTTGGCTTAGCGTTAGGATTTGAAACTAATCTAAATCTCCCAAACTAGCCTAAGCTTGTGAGATTATAGTTGGAAATATCGTTATCAGTGGGGTTAATAAACTGATGATGGAATTCAATTGAATGTTTTTCATTTTTGTGTGCTGATTCATAACTTTATATGATTGACTTTGTTAACACATATGTAATTTTTAAATACTTTTATGTCCGATTTATGTAATTAGCTTATTTTTTTAACAATTAATATTTTTTCACATCTGCGTAAAAACGTATTCACGAGGAAAATTTGTAGTTCCGGTAGGTTTATTTTTACATTGGCTATCTAAAGAGGCTTTCTTCATTTCACACAGTTTGTAACTGGAAATATATGTATAGAGACATCGATCATTCCACATTACTTATGGCAGCAGGAAATTCATAATGAAGAAATCAAACGAACGTTTTGAGCTCTTGCTCCTCCGTAATTTTTAAGATTAATTCATTAATTGCTAAACATTTCAGAAAGGTCGCGGATCCAGGTCGACAAAGGAAAACCTGACTTTAACATTACGAAAACTTCTTACAGAAATGTTCCTGAGATAAACAACATCTTTGAGAGTTCCTCACTTGAACCTTCCATTATCGTTGAACAGAAACTTTGCTACATGCGCAACATTTTGTATTTTTTATTTTTTGCTCTGCAGTTGGGTTTGTAATGTTCTTCTTCAATCCATATTTCTTACATGTAGGTTTAGGTTTGTGTTTTAAAACTTAAAGCTCTGCAACAAAAGTTTTCAATAAAACGACATTGTGATTTTTCGTTCAAGACTTGTCGGTTGGAATAATTCAAATGATTGAAAGACAAAAAAAGCGATACATAATATTACCCTGCAGGAGGTTTTTCTTAACATGTATAATCGAGGAATAGGGAACCAGCTCTTTTGTTTGCAGAATGAATGCCCCTTCCTCTCTCTCTCCTACAGTAATATGTAAGGCCATGAATCAGTAAGCAAACTTAACAAAGAAACCCGATTGAACTATTAAATAAACCGTAACGAAAGCAATTCCCGGAGAATCAATGTTATCCTGCTGTTAAATATATATATGTTTGCATTAATACGATATTTGTATGTGCATAGTGCTCCAAACTGTGCTGTGCTTTTATTGAATGTAAATTTCATTATCACCAGTACGTAGTTTCACGTTAGTTCGTACACTTATTGATCCACGCATACTGCTTGAATAAAACACAATCTTGCCTACGTTTATCTCTTACAGCAAATATTTATATGTTACAACGGCTTGTACAGATTAACATTTCAATTTCTAACAGAGGAGTCAGAACGGGATTTCAAGCTTGAAAAAAAAAAGGACATAAGAAGAAAGCTGAAATGAAGTGGCATTTAATTTGATCAACTGTGCTAATTTTAGTAATACAAGTACCAGATTAACACACAGCGTGAGAAGAAACAGAACCGTCAGAAAATCAAAGAGAGGCACGTGGATGAAAGAAAGTTTAAAGAAAGAAATAACAACTCGGGACTACCTCCTTGTAGTTTCTAGTAATCACTTTAGGAGGAAAATGGAAGCAAATCAAACCTCTTCCATCATACGGACTTAAAAATGACCTACAAAACATCTTACCTTACTTCTTTTTTCATGTATTAGAAACCTATTTTTATCATGCTTAGTTTAGAAAAACACGAACATTTGTTTTCTAAGTCATAAAAGAAAAGAAAGGGCGATGAACCCACAACCATTCTGATGAATATAATTAAGCAGATCAGTGTTTCTTCTGCAATATTTAATTTTGCATGATCATGCTGAATTAGCAGAACTTGTTGCTATGGAAAATGGTGCATATAACTTTTGAAGCAATATTTTTATATTTTTGTTTAAGTAAAATATGTTTTTCGTATTAAATTTATTACAGTAGATGTAAAATAGAAGTGGGTGCATTACCAAAATTTTAGAAAAACAAAACAAAAACGAATACATCTTTACATCAAGTCAAAGCTAGAGAGTGATACCATCTTTAATCATTAGAGAAAATGCAGGGCCCCGTTGGTTCTCTAAATGTTCTCGTTGGATCTCTAAATGTCGCGTTTACTAAGGAATACTCTTATAACTTTTATCTATCATCTATAAATACATAAACTAAAATACTTCCTTTCTGTATATTTAATACAATTGCACAACATGGTGTATGTGAAATGAACCATGTTGAACATGTCTCAAGAGTGCTAATGAAAAGTAGCTTTTTCATACCTGTTCAGAACACTTACCTGGCGTGAGAACAGCCATCATACTTCAGCTTTAATTTTAAGAACTCAGACCTGGCCAGTTCCAAGGCTATCAAAAAACATCGTGATTGTCAATATTTCTTGTGGTAACCGCTATTATTTAATTATCAGGCTTCACAAAAGTTTAACATTATAACACATTTTATTTGAAAGTACATATAAGAGTCAACAAATGCCTCACTATCTACATAAAGATCGTTTTACCTAAAAATCAAAAGTATTCAAAAACAAAATTGAAATTGTGCAAATTTCTTTAGTATTAAGTAGCTCTTCTGGAGCCCCCCCCCCAATGGGACAGCGGTATTTCTATGGGGACTTACAACGCTAGAAACCGGATGGGCAGAGCACAGATAGTCCATTCTGTAGCTTTGTGCTTAACTTTAAAAAAAAAGAAAGGAAACAACTGTTCTGGAAAAAAAATGTGGTAAAGAAAAATTCTCAGTCATGTATTAGGTCGTCAAGAAATTAATGTCACGTCTTGGAACACTTTCATTAACCATCACCACCCCCTCAAAAAAAAACATCACGTATAATAGTTAAACGAACCGCCTAAACGTCACCTTGTTTGTATATTTTCATGTTAATAACTGATTAAGATTCAGTTTGGTTTTGTCTTTTTGAATTTCGCGCAAAGCTACACGAGGGCTATCTGCGCTAGCCGTCCCTAATTTAGCAGTGTAAGACTAGAGGGAAGGCAGCTAGTCATCATCACCCACCGCCAACTCTTGGGCTACTCTTTTACCAACGAATAGTGGGATTGATCGTCACATTATAACGCCCCCACGGCTGAAAGGGCGAGCATGTTTCGTGTGACGGGGATTCGAACCCGCGACCCGCAGACTGCGAGTCGAGCGCCCTAACCACCTGGCCATGCCGGGTCAACCTGAAAGCGTGTAAGTTGTTCAGCAGCTTCGCGGGTCAAACCTTAGACTTTCGGTTCCGCAGCCCGATAAGTTAATCATTGGGCCATACTCGGCCTTAAAATATATTAAATCTATCTATTGGTGGATGAGAACCTTTTAGTAGATTGTCACACGAAGATTATTATCGCCATAATTACAAATATTTGATGAAAGAACACGATTTCACTGTTAAAATGCGCATTTTTTTATAATAAAAGACGTAATACTATCTTTAATATAATTTCTTCCAATTTTCAAGAGGAGAATAATAATTGCTTAGCGGAGAAACATGGTAAACATTACAACCTCGGCGAAAGGCAAATATAAACCATACCCCTGATTTAGCAATAAGTTCTAAGCAAATTCTAAAGTATTATAGAACTGTTGCTCCAGAGGGTGGTTTGCGATTAAACAACAATAAACAAGTCTGTTACAGAGATTAAACAAGCGCAATTATTCACACCAGAAGTGGCATTTTGTACTCACCACTTTGTAGTTCCCCAACTTGCTGTTCGGCTTCGTCCAGTTTCTTAGCAACGTACACGTGAGTTTCGAGAAACCGTCTCTCTATTTTTATTTGCTCAGTCTGTAAAGAATAAACTGTCAGACTGATTGTATACAATAAAATATGTAGGCTGGTCAGTGATGACAGCGGAATTTATCTGAAGAATAATACAGTTTAGGTAAAGTAAGACGATAAAACATCATTATTTACTTTTGGAAAAACCATAACAAACGATAAATCGTTAGCATTTAACTTCTGCTAAACCTTCACAAATAACGGTATGAAACGCTAACATTTAATCAATACCGTTAACAATTTGAAATAAGATAGATACACAAAGGATAAAGCTTTTTGTATAACTAATTCTTTTAGAATGAATGATAAAAAATACATTTATTTTCGTAAAAAAAAGGATAATTTTGAAAGCTGTTGTGAGTTAAGGTATGTGCTTTAAGCATTGAAAAGATATCCAGTCAAGTCTGTTCCTAGCTCCTTATTTCGGAATGATACATTCGGTTTTAAATTATTGTCGAACTTTTGGTACGTTATAATATGCTTATGCTCATATTTTCGTGGACTTTACAAAATTTCCCTCACTGTACTATATATAAATATATCAATATACAGATATAAATGCTGTTACAAAGCGGAAGTCGCGTGACGCTGCTAGCGCATGCGTGAATGAGTTTCTCGAATTATCAGGGAACTCCTCGAATTTTGTCGAACCCCCTTCTTTAGTATATAAGACAAAAACGTACTGACTGTGCAATTACTGTGTACTAAAAGTTTGTATCGAGAAAGAATAAACTGGTTTAATAAAGTTCAGCTGAAGTTCTTCGGAAATAATTTTTACGGTAAATTAACAAACAAGCAGATACGCAACAAAAAAAGAAGAAAATGGAAACGAGAAGTGGCAAATCAAACTACAACTTAGCAGATTTGATGGCAGCAATACAAGAACACCAAAAAAACAAGACAAACGAGAAAAGAAACAAGAAGAGAGACAACAGCAGTGGCAAGAAAACCTGCAACAGTGGCAGCTTGAACAGCAAAATAAACAAGAGAGATTACAGCAGTTGTTGGAGGAAAAGAAAAGAAACAAGAAGAGAGGTTATAGCAGTGGTTGTAGGAGAAAGAAAATAAACAAAAAGAGAGACTACAGCGTGGCAAGAAAACCAGCACCAGTGGCAACTGGAACAAGAAAGGAAACAGTAAGTACAAGTGGAAAAGATTAGTAAATTTCAAAGTGAACTAGATACATTTAAGGACGATTTACTGTCTTTTACACAAGGAGGATATATTATCCATGGACCTAATCAGCCCCAGACAACAGGAAGCCCCTTCCAGACCCTACAGCTAAACCTTAATGCAGACACCTTCAGTCCTGCCAGAACTCACATTCCATGATATTCACCATCAAGTGCATTCAAACATGAAAACGTCTGCTGATTCTATGAAGCTCTGTTATGATAAGAGATCTACTGACGTCAGCTTTGTGCCAGGAGACAAGGTATGGTAGTATAATCCCAGGAAAACCAAAGGGAAGTTTCCTAAGTTGTCTTCTCCATGAGAAGGCCCATATGACATAGTGGATCGTCTCTCAGACGTTACTTTCCGAATAAAATGTCGTCGGCGAGGTAAGCCGAAGGTAGTGCATGCCAACAGGCTTTGGCGTTATCACGGTCCAGGACATTTCAGTTGGGATGAAGTGAACAATGGAACAAATGACGCTGCTGAAGACCTGTCACCAGAAAAAGCCACTGTCAAAGAAGAAACTCTATTCGGTT